AGAAAGAAAGAAAGAAAGAAAGAAAGAAAGAAAGAAAGAAAGAAAGATAGAAAGATAGAAAGATGGAAAGAAAGAGAAAGAGAGAAAGAGAGAGAAAAAGGAAGGAAGGAAAGAAAGAAAGAGAGGGAGGAAAGAAAAGAAGGTTTTCAAATATAGATTCAAATGCTTATAAATATCTCTATCAACCTAGGCCAACAAAAACCAAATTCTTTGTTAATCCACTTCACGGATGAGAATAGGAATCAATGATTCCAGATGCATTATTCTAAATATAGTTAGATTATCTTTAGAATATATTCAATTATATGCACTGCATTTTGAAAGTTGTGATACTAGTACGTTGTGGATGATTCATAAATATTAATGCTGATGATGATTTTAATACATTTAATGGGTAAAATTCCATCAGTATGTTTCCATAAAAACATTATGATTTAAAAAAGGATGTAATATATGCAAAGCTGGGGAAAATATTTTATAAAGCTTCAAGTCCCCCATTCATGAATATATTTAAGGAGAAATGGGAGGAACACTAGTCAGGGAAGTTTCAGAGAGTCCTGCTTTAGCTAGTAAAAGTTGTTTCTATCAATCAGTATGGTAGCTGGAAGAACATTACTTTGAGGAAGGACTAGCTGGACTTTCTTTCTGCCTCTAGCATTTACAGGGTAAGCATCTGTAGGCAAAGCTTGCTCAAAGCCTCAGTTTCATTATCCATAAAATGGAGATAATAATATAGTTGCTGAAACTTCTTTAGGGTTTTATGTCTGAACATTTTGTAATGTATTTAAATAAGCGACCTAATTTGATCCACACAATTTTATGAGTGCAGAACCACAATGTGTTTTCTTTTGGCTTGGTTTTGGACTGAACCAGTGAATTTACTATTAGCTGGTGCTCTCAGGAAATAAACACCCTTTACTAATGCCTCTCTGTACCCTCTCTATAGAACACAATTTTCTAAGTGCCCTGGAGGCACCATGAGATTCATTGACTTACTCTAGGTTTGAGTTAGGGTGAGAGGCAATGTCGGAGATGGAACTAGAACCCAAGTCGGCATGTCTCCTAGACTTATTCTATAGCCACTTTGCTATGTTGTTTCTCCAACAGGAATATGACCATTTTATAAGATGTTGGAAGCATCCAATGTGATATTTATGCGTGCACACAGATATTACATATTGTATATTCAATGTGTATTATATATATATCTACATTATATATTTATCATATATATGTACATATATACATACACATACATACACACATACATACAGAGAAGGGAGAGACAGAAAGACAGAAACAGAGAGTCAAAATGTGGCCTTGCATAGAGCACTAGCCTCAAAACTAAGAAGACCAGTACTCAAATTCAAGTCCACCTTTGATGATACACACTGAGTATGTAGGATTCTGACTGAGTCAGCAGAATTCTCTAAGGGTAATTATTATGGGGAAGATGTCAACCTTCTTTCATAAAGGGAATTTCCCACACTAGCAAAATCACAGTCCTCTGTCCCTATATATACATACACACTCACAATACATACATATATGCACACATATATGTGCCTGTGATTATAAATATATGTATATGTATATTGTATTTTACATATAGTATTTCTGTGTATATTATAAACCTCATAGACCATTAATATATGTAATAATATTATCTTCAAGTTTTATGACACATAAGTGCCTTGTGAGGAAATTCATTGGACTACTGGATTTAAGAAGTCATGCCATAGATCATTTCATCCAAATCCTCCTGCTTATACGTGGGGAAACTGAGTTTTAGGAAGTTAAATGACTAACTTTGAGTCATAAAATTTTCATAGCCCAGTCTTGAACTCGATATCAGCCTCCAGGACCATAGTTCTTCTCCATATACAAATGGAGCAGATGATTTAGAAACAGGGTTGTTTTCTTCTTTGTTTATTGAAACTGTGATTCCAAGAAGGAAATAATATATTCACATTTCAGCACAACTTGTGTCAGGAATAAATACAAAATATGTACAGAGGAATTTGCCATACTTTATTTGTCATTTTTTGTTTAATCTCTGTTGTCCAGCCTAAGGGTCTCTTGAATTGTCAGAGGAAGGCTTGAGCAACGAGTCATCCCTTCCTTCCCCTGTAGCCAGATTCCTCAGCTTACAAATGTCAATACTGTTAGTTGAGTTTCTTGAGCTCTGATCCTAATCCAGAAATAAGTTAAACACCCCTTTCTGGGGTGAATTTTCAATACCTGACTCCACAAATAGTGAGCAGATAGAAACTTACATTGAAAGCACCTTAGGGGGACTGGGGATGGAAAGTTCATCATAGCCATTAGATATTTTAGATGGTTTTCCCTCCAGTTTTCTCAATTTACATGCTGGTGGTAATACCATCTCAAGAAATTAGAACCCACAACCTAGCCCACAGATTTGGAACGTTGTCTATGCTTCTGGGCATGACATTTTCAGAAGGACATAGACAAATTTGAGCTCATCTGGAGGCTGTGGTTGTAAGAGACCGTGACATACAAGGATCAATTAGTGAAATTCAGGAATTTCAGCCCAAAGAAGAGAAGAAACAAGGAGAACATAGAGCTGCCTTCACCTTTTAAATGGACAGTTGGATGGAAGATGGGATAAAACTTTCTATAGTTTCAGAGTGGAACCAGCAATGGTAGGTAGAGGACACTGGACAGAAGATGTCAGCCTCAGTTAAAGAAGAGATTCCTAAAAGTCAGTTATGTGACAACGTAATGGACTGCCTCATAGGTCAGGAGTTACCCATTACTAAAGGTTTTCAATTCTGAATATTGCAACCTCTTTTCGAATTTGTTGTGGAGTGGATCTGTGTTTAAATAAAAGTTGAGATAGATGGTCCCTCATGTTCCCCTCAACTCTAAAATTCTATGATGTTAGAATGCAAGTCCCTTGAGGGATGAGATTTTTTTTTTGTCTTGGTGTTTCTGGCAGTGGATAGAATGGAGTTGGGAAGACTCGTCTTCCTGAGTTCAAATCTGGCCTTAAAAACTTTCTAGTTGTGTGATCCTGGGCAAGTCATTTAACTCTGTTTGGGTCAGTCTCCTCATTTGTAAAATGAGCTGGAGAGGGAAATGGCAAACTTCTGCAATATCTCTGCCAGGAAAACCCCAAATGGGGTCATAACGAGTCAGACACAACTGAAAAATGACTGAATGACAATAACAACTTGGTGTTTTTATCAGTCAACTCAGGGACTGACATATAGTATTTATTAAAAATTCTATATGTACCAGGCACTTTGCTAAGTAGTGTGGATATAAAGAAAGGCATAAATAGTCCCTTACTCACTTGGAGCACAGATTCAAAAATACTTGTAAAATGAATCCAAGACTATGGACATTCAATCAGACATGATACAATTAAATCTCTATCAGTTGTT